ATATTGAGGTGTAATCCATAATGCAGACTGTAGTCTTCAGTCTTCATCAGTAACTGCTCCAAGTCATCCTCACTTGCAGCAAGGAAAGTTGTGTTGTCTGCGTATGGCAGGTTGTTAATGAGTCTTCCTCCAATCCTGATGCCACTCTCTTCTTCATATAGTCCAGCTTCTCAGATTAGTTGCTCAGCATACAGATTGAATAAGTATAGTGAAAGGATACAACCTTGACACACTCCCTTCCTGATTTTAAACCATGCAGTATCCCCTTGTTCTGTTCGAACGACAGCCTCCTGGTCTATGTACAGGTTCCTCTGAGTACAGTTAGGTGTTATGGGTAACATTGAGAAGAATGGGAATTCCAGAATTTTTATGATCCACACAATCGAATGCTTTTATATAGTCAATAAAACACAAGTAAACATCTTTCTGGTATTCTTTGCTTATAGCTAAGATCCATCTGACATCAGCAATGATATCCCTCATTCCACATCCTCTTCTGAATCAGCTCACCATTCTGGAAGTTCTGTCAATATATTGCTGCAACTGTTTTAAAATTGTCTTCGGCAAGATTTTACTTGTATGTGATGTTAATGATATTGTTCGATAATTTCCACATTCTGTGGGATCACCTTTCTTTGGAATGAGTACAAATATGGATCTCTTCCAGTCACTTGGCCAGGTAGCTGTCTTCCAAATCTTTTGGCATAGCCAAGCAAGTGCCTCCAGCGCAGCATCCGTTTGTTGAAACATCTCAATGAGTATTCCATCAATTGCTGAAGCCTTGTTTTTTTGCCAATTCCTTCAACAGCTTTGACTTCTTCCTTCGATACCATTGGTTCTTGATCATACACTACCTCCTGAAATGGATGAACATTGACCAATTCTTTTTGGTACAGTGACTCTGTGTATGCCCTCCATCTTCTTTTGATGTTTCCTGAATCATTCAATATATTGCCCATAGAATCTTTCAGTACTGAAACTTGAGGCTTAATTTTTTTTTTTTTTTCCAGTTCTTTCAGCTTGAGAAATGCCCAGCATGTTCTTCCCTTTTGGTTTTCTAACTCCAGGTCTTTGCACATTTCATTATAATAATTGACTTTGTCTTCTCGAGCTGCTCTTTGAAATCTTCTGTTCAGCTCTTTTATCTTGTCATTTCTTCCATTTGCTTCAGCTACTTTCCATTCAAGGATGTTTCAGAGTCTCTTCTGACATCCATTTTGGTCTTTTTTCCTTTCCTGTCTTTTTAATGACCTCTTGCTTTCTTCATGTATGATGTTCTTGATGTCAACCCACAATTCCTCTGCTTTTCAGTCATTTGTGTTCAATGGATAAAAAATCTGTTCTTTAAATGGTCTCTAAATTCAAGAGGGATATAATCAAGGTCCCATTTTGGCTCTCATGGATTTATCTTAGTTGTCTTCAGCTTCAGCTTGAATTTGCATATGAGCAGTTGATGGTCTGTTCCCCAATCAGCTCCTAGCCTTGTTTTGGCTGAAGATACTGAGCTTCTCCATCTCCTCTTTCCACAGATGTAGTCAGTCTGATTCCTGTGTACTCCATCTGGTGAAGTCCATGTGTATAGCCGCTGTTTGTGTTGTGTAAAAAGGGTATTTGCAATGAATAAGTTACTGGTCTTGCAAAATTCTATCATGAGATCTCCAGCATCATTTCTAGCACCAAGGCCATATTTTCCAACTAGTGTTGATTCTTCTTTGTTTCCAACTTTTGTATTCCAGTCACTAGTGATAACCAACACATCTTGATTGCATGTTCAGTCAATTTCAGACTGCAGAAGTTGGTAAAAATCTTCAGTTTCTTCAACTTTGGCTTTGATGATTAGTGCATATATAACAGTAGTATTAACTGGCCTTCCTTGTAGTCATATGGATATTACCCTATCACTGACAGCATTGTACTTCAGGATAGATGTTGAAGCATTCTTTGGATGATGAATGCCATGCCATTTCTCTTCAATATATCATTCCCAGCACAGTAGATTATATGGTTGTCTGATTCAGAATGTCCAAAAGCAGTCACTAATGCCTAGGACATCAATCTTTATGCATTCCATTTCATTTTTGACAACTTCCAGTTTTCCTAGATTCATACTTCATACATTCCATGTTCCAATTATTAATGGATGTTTGCATCTCTTCTCATTTTGAGTCATCCCACATCAGCTGATGGAGGTCCCAAAAGCTTTACTCCATCCACATCATTAAACTCGGCTCTGCTCTGAGGAGGCAGCTCTTTCCCAGTTTTGAGTGACTTCTGACCTGAGGGGCTCATCTTCTAGCACTATAGTGGACAATGTTTCAGGCTATTCATAAAGTTTTCCGGTAATATATCAGACAATGTTTCACTGCTATTCATAAGGTTTTACTGACCAATTCGTTGAGAAGTGGATGGCCCCTTCCTTCCTCTGAGTCTTTTTCAGTCTGGAAGCTCTGCGGAAACCTATCCACCATGGGTAACCCTGTTGGCATTTGAAACACCAATGTAGCTTCCAGCCTCACAGCAACACACTAGCCACCACAGTAAGACAAACGGACAAACAAGTTCATCTGTCTTAGTTGTTCCAAACTGCTGCGTTCACTTCCTGGCCTCCCCTAGCTATTCCACCCCACCACCGGCTCCCGCTTCCTTTCCTGGCCTCCCCTAGCTGTTCTGGCCTGCCACTGGCTCCCACTTCTTTTCTTTTCCCACATGCAAATTTGAGAAGAAATGCCACTTTTGGAGAACAGAAGGGACAGGGAGTTTAAGAGACCATCTCTCTCTACCCCCAAGTGCCCTTGTCCTACTCCTCAGCTCTTTCTGAAAGTTTTCTATGCAAATGTGAGTGTGTGTATATATATGTATATATGTATATGTGTGTGTGTGTGTGTGTATATATATATATATATAAAGAACATGGGGTTATGATATCCAGGGACTTCCTGCCCAGGCTCCTCCTCCAGTGCCCATGCCATTTCCACTGTCAATCCAGCATCACCCATACTCCTTTCACATTTGCAGTGTTCATTTAGTTGCCCTAGTTATATCACAGTTTTCTGTTAACTTGCTGTTCTGTGTTCAGTGGTGTCGTAGTTCCCTACTGCACCAAATGTGTGAGAAGTAATCATGTTCTCATGCCAGATTGCATCTTCTTGGTGATTTGCCTCCTTTGGTCACCACTTAGCACTCTGTGTCCCATCTGCAGATTTCTTCTCAATACTCAGGGAGACTACAAAGCCCATTTTCCATAAGAACAAAGACACCAAGGGAACTCTGTCTGCCCCCTCCGCTCAGGCAGTTTGGAGTGTGATAGATACCTCAACTTGACTTGTCCAAATCCAAATTCCTGATATTTCCCCAGAACCTGCCCACCTGCCTATACATCCCTTTCTCATTGGACAGCAGATTCTTTTTCAGTTCCTCAGGCCCACCCAGGTCCCAGGTCACCCTTGACTCCCCTTTTTCTGTCACCCCACATCCAGTCCATCAGCAAGTCCTGTGACACCAGAATCTACATACTTCTTATACCTCTGCTGCCAACACCCTGTCCAGCCACCATCTCTCACCTGCATTGCTGCAGTCTGGCAGGGCCACCAGAGTGGTCCTTCTGCAGAATAGGTCAGCTTATACCCCTTCTAGTCCTACCTGCAGTGGCCGTGGGTCTCAAGGGTCCAGGGTCTGCATGATATTTCCCAGCATTGCTTGGTCTGGCCACCATTACCTCTTGTTCTCCACGTTTTACATCAGGAGCTTTTGTTGTATGTAGACTTTTTATTGAGATGTAAGGCACAGTCTGAATTTTCATGAAGTGACCATAAAGTACCAAGTCCTAAGTCAAGAGACAAATGTCACAGCCCCCAGGAGCCCCTCTGAGATGGCCCCCTGCCTTTACCATCCCAGGTTAGCAGTGCCTATCCTTGAACTTGATATAAATGAGTCACACAGTACTTGCTCTGCTGAGGGCCCCTTTTGCACTGTTTTATGGGGTTCATCCACACTGTTGTTCATAGCTGTGGTTGGTTAGTTTATTTTCACAGCTGCAGTTTGTATGGTACGTTTTTATTATGGAGGCTTGCTTCATTTTCCTTATTTTGCAGCATTTCATTTTGGAAGTTCTATGTGCAGTCAAGGAAGAGCCAGGAGTGCCTCAAACTCAGGTAATTTGTTAGGTCAATTCAAAATAGATGAGGGTCTTACATTAAATGGCATCTGTATGTCAGTAATTGACCATGCCCTGTTCATATGTGCAGTCCAGCCATGCAGTAAGCACAGGCCCATGAAGGCCCAGAGCATGCTGGGTGGGAAGGTAGGGCACACCCTTCCTCCAAGACTCTGAGGTGGGACATTCCATTCTAGGTGAGACAGTAAAGAGGACAGTGAGGATAACCCCCATGTGTGTTGAGATGCAACTGAAGGTGCCTGGAAGGACAAAATTAGTCAGATGGCCCCTAGTGGTCCAGGTAGGCAGGTGGCCCAGGGACTTTGCCAGTGCTCTCTCCCCACTGTCCCCACCACCATGGGTGCAGTCTGGTCACCCTGAGGGTTCCAGAGTCTAAAGAGCAGAACCTAGAGTGCTGGGGCCCTTGGAATACAGTGGGTTTACATGTGTCCCCAGGTGTCTGGATATCTGCCCTGGACTTGGTGTTCTGAAAACCCTAGGTACTTGTTAAAGTGTGTCTTTCCTCGGCCAATGACCCAAGAGCTCAGCACTGGCCAGGGTGGGGCCAGAAACTGCAGGTTTGTTCATGCCTCCCAGACCTCAGTATCAGAAATTCACAGGGACCAGGCAGCCTGACGGGCAGAGCAGGGCTGCAGCGGAACATGCGAAGTCCTCCCTCAGCATGCCCCTCTATGACTCTGCTTGCCCGAGGGGACCATGTACTTCCTGAGACCTCCCAGGAAATGAGGGTCTGCTGGGGAAAAATTTGGACCCATTATTGCTCCTTCCTCTCCCTCAGCCCCACATGGATTTCCATCTGCCTTCAGAGGCCCTGGGAGACCAGATGATGGCAGCAGCTGGGCTTCTGCCAGTGGCAAAACCCCAGGTGAGCTTTTCCTATGGCCATGTGGCCGGCAGATTCTCCTGCTCCTCTCAGACTTGGCGTCCCATGGCAGCCTAAGCATCTCTGCTATGCCCTGCAGCCTGTTGGGCCTTCCCATCACTCTACCCTTGGCTGTCCCTGCAGTCGACCCCAAGTTGGCTCACAGCCCGCCCCACCCATTTGCACCTACTCCCTGTCATAGATGTCCAGACTTGGTCCCACCCCAGTGCAGCCCCTGTCTTTCCAGGCCGCAGTGACCTTCGAGGACGTGGCTGTGCTCCTCTCCCAGGAGGAGTGGGACCGCCTGGGTCCTGCTCAGCGTGGCCTCTACCGAAACGTGATGATGGAGACCTACGGGAATGTGGTTTCTCTGGGTAAGCCCCCCAAAGGCAGCATGAGCCAAGCTATCCCTCACACAGGCCTTGTCTATGTGCTGGGCTAGTAGGTGGGGGCTTCCAGTTAGGGTGGGACTTTGGGGCAGGCTGGTCATGCTCAGGCTAGACAATGACCCTGACCTCCTGGTGTTTGTACCCGCTGTCCTTCCCACAGTGCTCAGCCCTGTTCAGGGTCTGTCCTGTTCATCATTATGCTTCTACAGATGGCATGGAAGGGGCAGGGTGGGAGATAACCAGGTAAACAGAAGGACTTCCCTCCCCATGAGCAGGTCTCCCGGGATCCAAACCTGATGTGATCTCCCAGCTGGAGCGAGGTGAAGAGCCATGGGTGCTGGATGGGCAGGAGGCTGAGGGGAGAGAGCACCTGAGGAATAACCACTCAGGTGAGCAGTGGGTGGACCACCATCACTGAAGGCTGAGCAGCCCTGGCACAGCCATGGAGCAGAGTTCAAAGAACGCAGAAGACCCTGCTTATGCCCTGCCCCTCCAAGTAAGACTGAGAGCCTTTGTGAAACACTGGGAGTGGCTTCTGCCAAGTGTGAGACCATATCAGGCTTCACCTGACAAAGGAGGGCAGAAGAGGGGCATGGGAGGAAGTGAGCATGGCAGTAAATCTGGACAGAAGGGTAGAGTTGGGTGTGCAAAGACAGGGACAAGAGTGGAAGGCTGGGCATAGGTGTGATTGAGTACAGAAATGAGCCTAGAGCCATGGAGTAGAGGTTCTGTCCCTGCCCAGAGAGATAAAAACTGTTAGCCAGGTCTCTGTCTTCATGGAACATTCAGATTTCAGGGACTGCCTAATTGCTTTAAAGGAGATCTGGTGGTGTTGTGGTTAAGGCATTGGGCTGCTAACCAAGAGGTCTGTGGTTTGAACCCACTAGCTGCTCTGTAGCAGAAAGATGAGGCAGTCTGCTTCTGTAAAGATTTATGGCCTTGGAAACACCATGGGGGTTACTATGAGTCAGAACTGACTTGATGACAGTGGGTTGGGTTTGGTAGATGATTTAGAAACCGTACCAGGTATAGACGGGACATGTCAGGCCCTGGTGCAATGAAGTGCTGAAGGTGTGTGTAGAGATCAAAGTTAAGGCAAGGTGCCCGCCATTTCCATATCTGCTGTAACATTGTATTTGGCACACCACCTGTGAGACAAGGCAAAATAAAACATAAGCTTAAAGCTATAACGGTTGGAAAGGAAAAAGAAAAGTTGTTTTTTAAATCAGTTTATGTGGTAGTTTACTTGGAAAACTCAAGAGAATTCTCAGAAGATTTTTAGAATTGACAAGAGAGTTTAGTAAGGTTCCTGGGCCCCAAAATCCATTGTCTTCAGCAAAACCCAGAGGTGTGATCTGTAAACAGACAGCATTTACAACACCCTCAGGAACATGAAGGACTGGGGGGTTAGTCTAACAAAAGAAGGCAAGACCTTTGTGGAGTAAATCATGAAGGAGAAGATGATGGCAGATACAGACAAACCCAACCCTGAAGGGAAGGTGACAGCTGAGTCTCAGGATACCCTTTATCTTTCACTATTGAAATTTTTTTTTTTTTTACTATTTAATTTAGGGCCTAGCAAGCAACAAGAAGTACAGGAAGACAGCAACATTTGGGATAAAATGATAAATTCTACCCCTGGGGTCCCAGATTAAATCTCCTTCACCCTTCTTTGTTCTTTTTCTTTTTTTCTTTTTTTTTTTGTCCTGCTTTTCTTTTCTTTTCAGGATACAATTTCTGTCAGCCTGCCCTACCAGGACGTGGGCTGCCCTCATGGTAGGTGGGTACCTACACAGGCAGAACCTCATTGGCTTCAGCTTTTTGGGTGTAGTAGTTTTCCAATTGAAAGCAGCTGCTTCCTTCTTCGACTGTATGGACATAAGTACCCATTGTTACAGTGTGCCTCCCATTGGCCAGCAAAATCAGACATCAGAAGAACAATGAATGTGTGATGCTTGGGAATTTAATTTTCCAAAGGAAGTAGAATACACACCATTACACTGTGGAAATCATACACAGACGACTTGAAGCAATTTGCTGACTGCAGCCATGGTGGATGAGTAAAACAGGGCACAGCCACCACGAACCCAGATCCCAGTCTCCATGGTGGCTATCTGTGGCCTGCTTGACTGAGATGTCTTAGATAATGCCCTTAGAATTTGTGAAGAAGTGAGGTGATGGATTGGAGACTGAGGAAGTTTTTGCACAGAAGCAGCTGGTCTCTGCACAGGCCACAGAGGAGGGCGGAACAGAGTGTGTGCTTTAGGCTAACAATGTGCAGAGCCAGAGACCACCAGCTGGGCACCTGGGATAGCACCTTGAGTGGCATCAGGGCAAGCACAGAGCAGAATGGGGAATGTGCAGCAAAGACCTCATTTTAAAGCCAGTTCCTGGTCCTGGTGCCCTCGGGATGGATAAGTTGCTCTCACACCCCATTGTTTTGAATTCAGTGAATTGCACTTACATGTTGTAACAGCAAATGAAAGGATTTTTCTACTTTCAAGAGCAGTGTTTTGCTGTAAATTCAACTCTCTGTTCCTTTTGCAGACAACCTCAGCTGTGACCAAGCTATGGCTTGCATGTGCCAAGACAGTTTATCCTCTCCCTGGGGTAAGTTTATGCCTGATCTGCTTTTTAGTATAGTATAGTATAGTATACTCTCTGCAGGTGTTAATGTTCATGTTTCATTAGCATATAAAGAGATTCCCCAGGATTGCCATCAATGTCATGAAAGAAAATGTGTATGAACTGCTGAATGGAAAATGAATTTGCTCTGTAAACTTTCACCCAAATCACAATAAAAAATAATAAAGAGATTCCCCAGGGTACTATGAATTAGAACATGAGTTACTGTTATACGAATTCAGTAGATGAGATTAATGGCAAATTAGACTTCACGTGAGAAAAGATTACTGAATTTGAAGACCCAGTAATAGAAGCTATTGAAAAGAAAATAGAGTTTAAAAAACAAAACAGCCCAACTCCATGCTAGCTATAGGAAATGCATTTGAAATATTAAAACACAAAGATGTTAAAAGGATAGAAAAATATTTATGCTAGACTAATGAAAGAAAAGACAGAATGACTGTTTTAACATCAAAGTAGATTTCAGAGCAAAGAATATAACCAGGGATTAAAAAAAAGTCTTTTATAAAGACAAAGGGGTCAATCAAGAGACTATAACAATACTAAACACTTATTGTTAAAGGGGCAAGGAAGCCACATCTTCTGACCTCCTCTAACCCCACAAGAGGAAGACAGAATCACCATCAGCAGCCCAAGGCCTATTCCTGCGAGACCAGACATGCTGCCTCCCTCCACCCCTTTCACCAGCCCTGACACTAACCTTTCCTCCCACAGCACCCACCAGCTTTCTGCTGGGTTCGATAATTCGCTGCAGTGGCCACACAGAACTCACAGATTGTGGGGTTTATTAGGGAATTCAAGTTCAGGAAAAACGCTCAGTCTCTCTCAGCCTGCCGTTTCTCAACCAACAGTCCCTCTCAGTCTCTCTCCCAGCAGTGCATGTCTCTCAGTGTCTTTCCCTCAGCAATGCATGTCTCTTGGTGTCTCTTTCTCAGCAGCGCATTTCTCTCCAGAATGTGTTTCTCTCAGCAGCATGTCTTTCTCAGCCAGCAGACAGCTTCCTTCTGCCTCTAAGAGGGCTCCTTTTGAGCCTGGCAGAGTGGCCAAACTAACCAATCATAACATCAGAATTCTAAACACCTGAGAGAGAGCGAACTTCCCAGAACATTGCTTTGTGCCACTCGCAACAGAAATACCCCAGGTGGGTAACTTTAATGATCAGGAGCTACACTCAGTTGCTCATGGCAAATTCCACCATGGAGTTTACAAAGATTTATGGCTAGAAAAGCCATACCAGGTAATTTACTACACCTCACTTATGTACCTAGTTAGAGTGCTTCAAAATACATGAAACAAAAACTGTGGAACTGGAAAAAAAAAATAGGTACAAGTCCATAGTTATAGTCAGAGATTTGAGCACCACTCCCTCAGTAACTGATAAAACAAGTAGGATGAAAAATAGCAAGGACATAGGGAACATCATCAACCAATCTAATTTGATTGCCATTTATAGAAGACTCCTTCCAAGACAGTAGAATATAAATTTTTTTCAAGTGCACATGAAAACAGAAAATGTAGCGGGAGACATCACTGAGTGGTCTGGAAGTATCCATGTGTGTGCTGCCAACCCTGGCTGTTCCCAGCCATAGGCTGTTCCCCTGACCAGCATACACTGAGTGCACTCCATGGCCTGCCAGTTGAAGGCCAAGCAATGACAGCCAGCCCTGGGTGGGCTTGACTGTGAGGTACAGCCCCAGGATTCCACACAGACCATACCTGACCTGGAAAGTGAGCCCAACCTCAATCTGCCAGGAGGCGGCCTTACATCACTGTCTAGCCTGCCTGAGGTACCTCATTGATTCTACCAACCTGAGGACCCACTTTTAATCCAAAGACCACAAGAAAAGGCTGAAGCAGCTGAGCATGTGCCCTACAGTTAGGAAGAGGCAGAGAAGGCAGCAGGCATGGGCTCGTGTGTGCATCCCCAGCAGCTGCCAGGGCCCACAGAGATGTCCACTGACGTCCCAGAGGTGGACATGCCTCCCTAACATGGCCTAAGGATACAACGCAGAGAGCCCAGCTGTGAACAGTGATACGAGGGCTAGAGACTGTAACAACATCTTTTGACTTTGGGTTTGGTGAGTGGATGGCCTTTTCTGGGTGTCTGCCACCAATAAAGGCACTAGACAAAGAAAATACAGTGGACTGTTGGTGGGGGGAAGCTACAGTAAATTTAAAAATTCAGTCCTACAAAGTATGCTCTCCAATCTTAATGGAATTAAAAATAAGAAACAGAATGATCTCTGGAAAATCCCAAAATATTTGGAAATTAAATAACATTCTTCTAAATAAACCATGGGTCAAAGAAGAAATCAAAAGTAAAATTAAAAGCAATTTTGAATAAAAATGAAAATACAACATATCAAAAATTTATGGCATGCATCTAAAGCAATATTTATAGTTTTTTAAAGCACTAAACCACCAGTCATCTGTCAATTAATCTTACCGTTGTGGCTTGTGTGTTGCTATGATGGTGGGAGCTATGCTACCTGTATTTCAGATACCAGCAGAGTCACCCATGGTGAACAGGTTTCAGTGGAGCTTCCAGACTAAGACAGACTATGAAGGAGGACCTGACAATCTACTTCTGAAAAAATTGACCAGTGAAAACCTTATGAATATCAATGGAATATTATCTGATTCAGTTCCAGAAGATGAGCCCCTCAGGTTGGAAGACACTCAAAATATGGCTAGGGAAGGGCAGCCTCCTCAAAGTAGAGTCAACTTTGATGAGGTAGATAGAATAAAGCTTTTGGAACCTTCATTTGCTAATTTGGCACAACTCAAAGTGACTCATCTGCAATATGCAGACAATACAACATTACTTGCTGAAAGTGAAGATGACTTGAAGCACTTATAATGAAGATTAAGGACTACAGTCTGCAGTACGGATTGCAACTCAACATAAAGAAAACGAAAATCCTCACAACTAGACCAATAAGCAGCATCACAATAAATGGAGAAAAGACTGAAGTTGTCAAAGATTTCGTATTACTTGGTTCCACAATCAACACCAGTGAAAGCAGCAGTCAGGAAATGAGATGATGTATTGCACTGGACAAATCTGCTGCAAAAGACCTCTTTAAAGTGCTAGAGAGTAAAGATGTCCCTTTGAAGACTACAGTGCGCCTGACCCAAACCATGGTATTTTTAATCACCTCATATGCATGTGAAAGCTGGACAATGAATAAGGAAGACTGAAGAAGAGTTGATGCTTTCAGGTGGTGGTGTTGATGAAGAATACTGAAAGTACCATGGACTGCCAGACAAACTAACAAATCTATCCTGGAAGAAGTGCAGCTGGAATGCTTCTTGGAAGCAAGAGCGGCCAGACTTCATCTCACCTACTTTGGGCATGTTGTCAGAAGAGACCATTCCCTGGAGAAGAATATCATGCTTAGTAAAGTGGAGGGTCAGCGAAAAGGGGGAAGACCCTCAATGAGATGGACTGACACAGTGGCTGCAACAATGGGCTCAGGTATAGCAAGTATTGTGAGGCTGGTACAGGACTGCGCAGTGTTTTGTTCTGTTGTACACAGGGTCACTATGAGTTGGAGCAGACTCAATGTCACCTAACAATAACAACAACAACAACAAAATGAGAAGAAACATCTGCAAACATCCATTAATAATCAGAATGTGGAAGCATGAGTCTGAGAAAATTAGAAGTCATCAAAAATGAAATGGAACACATAAAGATCAATGTCCTAGGTATTAGTGAGCTCAAATGGACTGGTATTGGCCATTTTAAATCAGATAGTAATATGATCTCCTATGCCAGGAATGACAAATTGAAAAGGAATGGCATTGTATTCATCATCAAAAAGAACATTTCAAGATCTATCCTGAAGGACAGTGCTGTCAGTGATAGGTTAATATCCATATGCCTACAAAGAAGACTAGCTATGCAAATTTATACACCCACCACTGATGCCAAAAACAAAGAAATTGAAGATTTTTACCAACTTCTGCAGTCTAAAATTGATCAAACATTAAATCAGGATGCATTGGTATTTACTGGTGGTTGGAATGCAGAAGTTGGAAACAGAAAAGGATCAGTAGCTGGAAAGTATGGCCTTTGTGATAAAAACAACACTGGAGAACACATGATAGAATTTTTCAAGACCAATGATTTATTCATTAAAAATAACTTTTTTTTCCAACAACATAAATGGTGACTACTCACGTGGACCTCACTGGATGTAATACATAGGAATCAAATTTACTACATCTGGGAAAAAATGGAGAAGCTCAATATCATTAGTCAGAGCAAGGCCAGGGACTGACTGCAAAACAGACCATCAATTGCTCATATGCAAGTTCAAGCTGAAGCTGAAGAAAATTGTAACAAATCTGTGAGAGCCAGAGTATGATCTGGGAATATCCACCTGAATTTAAAGATTATCTCAAGAATAGATTTGACTTATTGCACACTAATGACCAAAGACCAGGCAAGTTGAATGATATCACACATGAAGAAAGAAAAAGGTCATTAGAAAATGTTGGGTGTTGGGTGGCATCATCTGACCTTCTCTAACTTCACAAGGGAGAAAAAAGACTAAGATCAGCCCAGGACTGATTCCTATGAGGTGAAGGTTACACATTCCACCATCCTCCAAACTTTTTACCAATTCTGTCACCAACCATATCTCCCATGGCACTTTCTATTTCTCTGCTGGGTTCATAAATAATTCTCTTCATGGACCCCTATGCTGGGAGGAGAGAGAGGAGGAAGTTCTAGGAGTAAAAAGGTACTGAGACAAAAAAAAAAAAAAAAAAAGTGCCTCAGACAAGACCCCAATAAGGAGGCCTCTGAATGGAGTCACCTGGGCTAAGAATGCAGCTATGAGCATGAGCATGGCTGGCCCCGGGCAGGGGAGGGAGGAGCTTTGAGTCCTTGATTGCAACTCTTCAGAAAACTACAATGTACTGTGCAAAAAGGGCATGGGAGAGGCATCCTTTGG